CAGAGCTGTCCCCAGGGCTGGAGGTGCCCCAGCAGTGCCAGCACAGGGGATGGACACTGTCCTGGGGCTGTGGCCTCACCATGGCTGGGACAGTCCATTGGCCTCTTGCCCACCTGGGCACCCCTGGGCTCATGTCCAGCCGCTGGCACCAGCAACCCCAGGGGCTTTCTGCTATGTCTTCCTCTTGCATCCCTTTCGCTTTGTTATTGTCGGGGCTCGCTTGGCGTTTTTTACTACCTTCCTTTAACTAAAAGACGGCTCGATTCAGAATGTTTAACATTCCAGCTAGTTTTGAACCTTTTTTTTTTTTTTTTGAATCACTATTGCTGTCCCCGCCCCTCAGCCGGCCCCTCCCGTGAGGCGCTGCGCGGGATGGCGGCGGCGGCGGGAATGTCGGACCGCGATACTTTTGAGGAAAAACTCATAAGGGTAAAGAGGGGCGCCGGGGCCTTGGTTCTCTTTCTTTCTCTGTAAAACCTTCCCCCCGTGCTGTTTGCGCTCTCAGGTTTTCTCCATTGCTGCGTGTTTATGGCGATGAGGTGCTGGTATGGCAGGATGAAAAAGGAGGCGTAGGAAGGAATGACTGTTAAAGTTATACGGCTCCGTCCCGTCTCCGTCAGGTTCATCAGGCAGCCTTATGCAAGAATTTCTGTTCCCTCAGTGTAGAAAWTCCTTGTTCTTCTCTTATTACTGGTCATAATTTAACCTTTCTAATCTAATTAGGGAAAATTTCTTCACTCAAAGGGTTGTCCAGCTCTGGCACAGCTGCCCRARGCASTGGAGTCCACTTTCCTGSAGGGATTTAAAAGCTGTGTGGTTGTGGGGGGACATGGGTTTGTGGTGGCCTTGGCAGTGCTGGGGGAGCGATTGGACTTGRTGATCCTGGAGGACTTTTCCAACAATTCTATAATACCACAGTCAGAGCCCCACCTGAGAGCCCTGTGCTGTTCTCTCATTTATGACTTTGTTTGCAGTGGTACAAGTGCTTTTCAGGGCTTGTGCTTGCACATCGAAATGACTCTCTGCTCTCCCGCAGAGACTGTTCCCAGTGATGGCTTGGGCAGTTTGAATCCCATATGCTTTAACACAGTTTTCACCACAGTTTTCACCACTTTTCCAAACAACCATTTAACATCTCTTGGGTCATTACTCACTCATTACTGTGTCTGTAGCCAACAGGTCATGTGAATAAAAAGATAAAATTTCATCCCATGGAGATAAGCAGGTGCCCAGAGAAATGAGGGAGATGAAAAGGGATGTGATACAGGTTTCTAGACTACAAGAGGGTGTTTAAAGAAGAGAGAAAGGAATTTGTCTCCCCTTTTCCCACCCATACCTCCTGGACTGATGTAACTCTTCAGAAATGCAAAGATTGCAATAGTTTACATTTTTCACATCTATGAGCTATTTTCTATYATTTCTCTTGACTGCTTGCTCTTTTGTCTCCCTTCTCTGACAGGTTACTATATGGCTAAAGAAAATATATGGGAATGCCCGTGTTCCACAGTATGAGGTGAATAGAAGGACAGTGGACATTTTGCATGAAGTTATGGAATGCAATGAAGAGAGAGACAAGGATATTTCATTGCTGATAGAGGACTTTAAGGAACGGGAAGCCAAGTATGAAACAGAAGGTGAGTTTGAGTCTCCATTTCTCAGTTCCATCCAAATGAGGCTTTTCTTCATGATCCTAAAGATTGTGTTTGTTAAAAATTTAGGAATATCTCTAAGTTCATGTAACTGAAACAGACTCACCTTTTGTTCAAATGCAGTTTTTACTGCAATGCATTTCAGCTAAACTTACARTGGCATGAAGTAGGTCAAGGACAATTTTTAAGCCTTCTTGAGCATTCTTGTTTGTTTTTTTTTCCTTCAAGTCTTTGAGTGCCTTGTCCCCAAATGAAAAACGATGGAGACAGACTTCTTGGGTCTGCCATGAGCCAGGATCAGGCTGAGCTTTGTGGGGAGATGACCTGTGTGTGCTCTTTACTGTAGCACAGGGTTAAGGTCTTGTTTGTCTGATTTCACACAGACTGGTCTGAGAAGGAGTGGAGCAGTACTTTCTCCCTTTATACACCGAATTTGTTTGACAAATGGAGYTGTGGCAGCAGTTTGGCATGTTTAAGCCTTGTTGTAAAGTGTCTTTTTCCTCTAACAACAGGCAGGTAGCCAAGTTCCTGATGCGGGGTTGGGTTCTAGCTTTGAAGTGTTCCTTAAAAAACAGTAATAYTAAAAAATCATTGTTTTGGATTGTATGTGTTTTSCAGCTCAGAACTGGGAGGATATTCTTGTAGAAAGTCTGGGTCTTTCTGTTTTCTCTCTGTCCCAAGAAGGCACCACAGCCCTCGAAGACCTGGTRGAAAGTGCTATGGCACTTGAAGTGGAGGACACATCTCTTACCAGGTAATTTTTCACACATTCTGCATTCAAGGTAATGGTCTGTGCTGTTTTCTTCTGGTTTTTCACATCAGCAGCTTCAAACTTGACTTTGACACTAGGCATCTTACTGTCTGGCTTATTTTGCGCCCCTTGGGCAGYTTTGTAGCACAAGGGACCTGTGTTAGTTGTGGAAAGCAAATAGTTTACTCCTACCATAATATCAGGAGGAAACAGTAATCCGTGTGCAGTATGGAAAAAAGAATAATGGTAGTTATGACTTTCAGAAGGCCTGACTCCCACTGATTMTCTCTTCACCAGCTTCTACTGTGCCATCATTAATAGGACCTCGGAACTGTTTAAATTAAAATCAAAAAACCAAGAAATGGAATGGAAAGTGAAGACCCTCACGAAAAAACTRACTTCAGCACTGACGTTGGAAAAGCAGTTGGAGGCGTGAGTAATGGTTGAGGAAAAGGGAAAGATTAAAGTAATACTGGTGATCTCTGTCTTGGGCAACATTGGTTGTGGTAACTAACAATAACTGAATTTTTAGGGATTTGACATATCTCCAACATAATTGGAAATATCTAACAAAAATCATGCGATATGGACACTTTCAGTAATCAAAAGAGATTTGGGGAAGCATCAAACCCATTATTTTAAAGCAGTTTTCAGATACGAGCTTACATCTTCCACTAGGTGCTTTTATCTGAGGCTGAGAGCAGATCTAATTTTCCTAGCACATTTATCATGAGCTCTGTAATCAGACTGAGGGAGGCAAAATAAAAACCATTCCCAAGTAAGAATTTCTCTTAACCAGTGTGTGGGAGACATAATAATAATAACTCTAAAAAAATAGAAGTATCCCATCCATTCCCTGGAGGATATAATCTGAAGTGTTTTGCCAAGCACAGCAGGATCTCAGCCTTGAGTGGGAATTTTCCCAGATGCTCTCTACAGCTCTCTTCCAGTCTAATAATTTTTGAGATAGTTTTTTTGTCTTTTAAAGTGATAATTTGGCTCGTAGAAGAGATTCCTGTGTGCTTTTTGCAGATATGCCTCTTGATCTGAGGTCTAGCTTGTGTAATAGGTCTCTAAGTGAATGCACAAGATTCTTATCCTTTGCTTTTAGGCAGATGGCTTTCCCCTTTGCCACTATTTTCCCTGGCCTTTGGTGTTCTGGAGGTAACAGGTGTATGTTTCCACTGAAAATTCTTGCAGGGAAATAGGAGGTTTTCTCCATTTTCTTCCTTCTTGTGTTGGTTGTATTGCAGAGTTTAACTTGAGCCTAGATAAGTAACAGTATTTGTATACTGCTATATCTTTGAATGTAACAGTTTTTTCTGTTTGTTTTATTTTTTAAGGGATGTTAAAAAATTAGAGAAATCTCAGGCAGCAGAAAAGGCCAAAGCTAAGAGTCGATCCAATAACTTGAAATTCCTAGAAGCTAAATCTCAGGATATTAAAATCAGGATCTGCGATGCTGAGGTAGGTGTAAGGAATTTTCTAACAAGACACTTTGACAGGATGATGGAGCCGTGGTTGGTTTAGCCCAAATTTGTAGCTGCAGAGACATTCCAAAGGCTTCCTAAACCCCAGGACTGGGCACTGTTGAGCTAACAGGAGAACATGTTAGTACAGTTTAGTTGTCCCAGCTGATCTCCTCTCAGCATGTCCTGTGATCAGCACAACACTTTCTCATTCCCTGAGAGCTTTGTTAGCTGGAACTGCAAACTGGGATTACCAGCTTCGTTAGCTGTGTTACTGTGAGCTGCTGTCATACAAGAGAATGCAGAGCAGCTGATTCATTGAGATAAATTTTGTCTCAAAATTCTGAGTACAGTCTTTTTTTTTAAAGAATGGATGATTAAACACAGAAAGCAGAATCTTATACAGTCTGCTCCTTCACCTTCCCTAAACGATGGACACGTGAATGCTTTATTTAATGCCTGTATACTGTCTGATACCTTGACAAATATGAGATGGGAGGTACTGTATTACAACTGGCATTTTACTGAACCCTCTGTTCAGCCTTTCTGAGTGCCCTTCTCCCACTAATTTTCTGGAAAGACTTGTTATTCACGCTGCAAATCTCATCAGCAGATTTTGTACACCAGCTATAGCTGTGGTGCAAATGGCACATGTTTCTTCTGTCTGCAGCATCCATTCTTCTTTGCTTGTTTAGACAGAAACACAAATGGTGAAATCTTTCTCCTCCTTGTTACATTTTGTGTTCTCTCCTGTTTGCAGGAGACGGTTATTGCTGCGGGGTTGGACCAATCCCTGACGCATGAGGCGCTCATGAAATTTTCTGAGGTAGGTCTTTGGGTACAAAATGGGTCTTTCTATAGTGGGACAGGCCAGGCTTGYTTGTTGGGTGCTTTCAGGAATTGTAGTTTCTTGTTTGGTTGCCTAAACAAATTGTAATGGCCAAATGAAGCACAAATGAAAATCTTTTATGGGGTAGATGGATACCCATGAACTGGAGTCTGGGATGTGTTTGTCTTTCCTGGAAGCATTTACTGGAGAATTTCCCAGGGGATTAATTCCCTGCCACTGCAAACAGATCTGCCTCCTTTAATTGTGATCCATGTTATGACAGAGTGAATATTCTGTGGACTGTATCCCATTACATGGCTACMTGTGTATTGCAGTTGCTTGACAGAATGACCCATGTGATTCTTTCTACTCTATGTGCAGTATAACTGTTTCAAACACTTCTCAGTATGCAGATAAGGTTAAATGAAACCCAAATTTTGAACYGTTGTGTGCTGTTTTTTTCTTCTGTCTTTAAACATAACATTTTTCATCTGTATTGTAAGCCAAGTGGAATAAATGTTAAAGAAAAATGTTTCTTTTAGTAACAATAGATTTTACAGCTTTGTGCTAAAACAGTTCKACACAAGTGACATGTATTTTGTCTTGCTCTGGGTACACTCACTAACTCTTCATATATTTTGCTGCTATTGTAGTGGGAGCTTAGTCTTTCTCCTCATTTCTTTTGCTCTCTTTTCCTTCATAATTTTTGAGTGGAACAGTGAAAACAGGTTTCCTGGTTTCTCTGTTGTCGTTCTCACGAACCAGCACTGGGTGGCAGTGCTTACATTTCTCAGTGTTACGGGAGGGTACTGACCAGAAATAATTTTTTTTTGAATTTTGCATCCAAAAAGCCACAGGCAAATTKTCTAGGTTTGTCTTCTTCTAGAACCCAAGCATAGGGTAAGATTTGAYTCTCTGACATTTATATAACTGCTTTGCCAAAAGCTCAGTGAAATAGGCAGTACAAATGACTTTATCTTTTTTATTTAACTTTGATTATTTGAAGAGTTCAGGACTGTGGAAGGTACTCAATTTGCAGCCCCAAAGAGAAATTATTTTCCTTTGCTAAGTGTAAGGAACAGTCTTTTTGCTGCTCTATATGCAAAACTACAGTTAGTCATGTTTTTTAAGAGGATGAAAGGTCTYGAATTCTGAAATTCTGTAGATAATTGTGGATCTATCTCACTCATTTCCATTAATTCTACAAATAAGTCCCTARAATATAATATACTTTGCTCTCTCTGCAGGAAGTGGCTGCACTGCAGCAAGAAGTTGTGCCGTTGAAGAAGGAAGTGATGTCCTACCATGATTTACCTCCAGTAACTATTTATTCCACTGTTCTATTTATTCCACGTCAAATATATTGTATTTGACATCAGGTTAATTTGAGTGGACTTCAGAATGTAAAGGATATCATTGTGATGGCTTTGGTGGACAGGTAGATGTCCACCTGTTAATGCTGTTAACCAAGACTTAACTTAAACAGAAGGCTATCTATTTATTAATCAAAGTAAAGAAATTAAGTGTGCTTGCCAGGCAAACTTGGTTCTAACAAAGTAGACAAAATTGCTGGGTGAGTTAGTATCAGGTGAATTAGCTAGAATTTGGACCAAGAAATGTGGAAGAAAAGGTAATCCCCTAGTATAACCAACTTCTTGTGTTTACCAGTACATTATCTATAACTGTCATCAGGCTGTCAATATGGTAGACACACACTTGGCGCAGAGTTTGGAGGTCTGAACAGGATTTTAAGGATCATGAAGAAACAGCCAATGGGGCTTTGTCCCCTAAATTGACTTCTCCACCTTTTTTTATTTTATTTCTCTTGATAGTGCTGGGTACTCAGCTGTCTGAAAATGCAGGTTTCTCATCTCCCTCATACAAATACTGATGTTTTGTTCCTAGGAAAAAATAAGGCTGTTTATAAATAAAAGGCTGTAGGGAGAGGGTGGGCCTGCTGCTCTGTTTCATCCGTCTCTTCCTAGGAGGCAACTGCCTCCTTCTCTCAGGTGGAACAGAACATTCAAATCGGATTAGGTTCTCCACTTCCCTCCTCCAGCCTTGCTGTCAGTGGAGACAGAGAGAGCTCCAATGCCTCACKTCTGGTGCAGGCAGAAGGAGGGGAGGGAGGTTTATCCTTGCAAACTTACCATGCACAAATGTGCTATTAAAATCTAGTCTCCTGATTGGTAGGTTTGGAAAATTGCTTATAATGGAAGGGGTTTTTTAGACTTTAGGCCATACCAGACTTTAGAAAAATATGTAATTGCCCAAACCAGAACTAGGCTTTTAATGTCAGTACCTTCTGCATGTGAAGTGTGTRCACAAAACTGCATTAATTATCCAAGAATTCACCTGTGGCTTATCATTAGACATTTGTAAAGGTCCAGGGACTCTTGTTTCCTGATGAAATACTGATTTTTATGCCATTTTCTCTYATTAGAGCATTGCCCTGGCACGAGTGAAGGTTGAAGAAGTGAAAAAAGAACTTGTAAGGATTTTTTTTTTATTTTTCCAGAAATTGCATTTATTAATAGATTACAGATTTACCCACCTTAGACTGTAGTGTCGGTGTTCTCATGGGGAAATTTGGTAAKGGGAAGTTGTAGGTAGTGGTAAGGGGAGCAGGTGGAGTGATGTCTGAGCTATAAAGGCAGCTGGGCACAGTGATATCAGTGGGGATTAGGCACCTACATCCCTATGAATTTTGCCTATTAGAATGTTTATTCACTCAGCTGTGTAGGTCTAAGAAGCTTCCTTGCTCCTCCTGAACTCCCAGAAGGCTCCAGGGCCCTTTTTTCAGTCAGCAGCTGCTTTGTAGGCTGCAATGGGGACCTTCCCCTRTAAAACATAGTGCCCATTTCCTCCATGCTTGTGTAATCTGCAGGTGTAGTTACTGAGAAACATCATAAAGCTGTTGGGGAAGTTCATACACAGCCTTCCTGAGCAAGCCAGGCCACGTTTGARCCCCATAAAACCTGTCCTTGCTCCTTTAGGCCACTGCCTGCTTACTCATAAAGCACAAGTAGTAAGCCTTGAAACAGTGATCAAAAATCACAGCTAAGTGAGAGCATTTTGCACATTTTCAGGAGACTGCCTGGGTTGGTAAACCACTTGTTTTTGATTCAKGAATAAAATTCCCCTTACCAGCCTGAGGCTGTTCTCAGGTCAGAATGCTCACCTCTGGGGAGGACCTGTGAGCTGTCCAAAATCACATTATGGCACAGAGTAAACGCAGCTGAGCTTATCCAGCCCTTCATTTGGAGGTTTCACTGTGTGTRTCTGCCCTTTGCAGCAGTGAGCCCATCCAGCTCAACACCATGGATAATCCAGCACTGCTAATGATCTCCCAGGGTTTGATCACGTAGATAGGATCATTTACCAGCAACTGTGTGGAAACTCTCATGGTCACTGATTCCTCTTGGTTTTCTCTCCCGCTAGAAAGCCTTGGATGACGAGCTCACAAGGCTGATCGAGGCTGTGCCTTTCGAGCTGACATAGCCCAGCAAACTCCAGTTCACCTGAAGTGGCYTACATGAAACATGATTTTCCTACTTACTTGCACTAGCAATGCATTTCTGAATTCTTACTGGACTGTAGTAGCTTCCTGCTGTGTTCTTCTTTCTATTGGTGTTGTTTTTGTAGATATCACCTATTCTTCACTAAATAACTTTCAAACTTGCTGGTGTCTTTATCAGTTATTTTTCCCTTGGTGATACAGACCTGTAAAGCAAACAAATAGCTCTGTGGATAGTGCAGGCATAGCTTTAAAACAAACAAAAAAGTACGGTAAGACCTTTCTAGGTCTGAAAGTAGTATTTTTGCAGAACCACTGTGGAACATGATGATTTTGAAGTTAGATTGCCCTTAACAATTCTGCCTCAAATGTCATCTCCCAGCAGGGTTCCCAGAGCCCTCTTATTTCCATGCCATCACCACACCAGCCTTCAACACTTTCAGAAATGTTTTGTACACTCCAGCTTTTAGAAGCTGTTTGTTACTAAACCCAGAACATCTCTTGTGGATGAGGAAGAGGCAAAATATAGAAACAGTGGCAGCACTTGAGGACATCGAGCATGGGCCTATTTGTACTGGGAAGCATCCAGATGAATAGTGGTGCTCTCAGTGACAATCAGTTTGGAATTTATGTCGCAAGAGATGGCCTTGAGAGCTGTTGGTTCACTGCAGAAGGTGGTTTTCAATGATCTGCAGGCAGAGAGATTCAAAATTCTACTGGTGTCAATAAAGTACCAAGAGTGGAGCAGCCATCACCTTTTATTTTGTTGTGATGGGGAAGAGCTGAGAGATGCCCAGAAAGCCACTGCCTATAGGGAATCTCCAGCCTCCACTTTCATAYACCAGCAGGAGTTGCTGTTTTATTCCAGGTGTTTAAATTTGGCTATTAGGAAAGGGTTAATTGCCTTAGTTTTGTAGCTGTTGATCTTCAATTCCTTCTGGGGCAGGAAACAAGAAGGCAAATGCAAGTGAAAAAAATCGTGGGCTAAACTGGCCCAAGTTACCTCAGAGGTAACTGATGTGAAATTTGGACAAGTGCCATAGTGCAGGGATGACTACAGGTACAGGTACTATTTACCAAAAAAACCCATCCAAAAGCTGTGGGAGTGGTGTTTGAACCTGAGAAGAACACGAATATAATGATTTTTCTCTTGTGGAAGGAGAAAGAAGTTGTAGTCTTGGAAGACATCAGAACATGGCTGGGTAGACATCAAAGAATGACATAACAAGAAAACTGATATAAGGCAGTGAAGATCATAGCCTGGCAATTAAGGAATCTTAATTACTGGAAGCTCTKAACAGCAGATTAGAAATGGTTTGCCTAAGTATTTCAAATGTGAGGGAGTGTTGATCACGCTTTGGGATACAAAGATGGAATAGATGAGGGCTTGAGGGTGCCACCAGCCCTACTTTTTAGTGAGAGCCTCAAGACTTTGCTAACCTTAGGAGAAGGCTTTTCATCTCAAACATGTAACCATGGCTCCAGGCTTGAAGGATTTCCCGGGGACTATGGCACTYCATAGCATCACCTCCCTCATCATGTAGTGCTGCACCAGCTGTGACGCCTGGGGCCGTTCTACCTGCCCACACCCACGGAGCAGCTGCACCTCTCCCCGGCTGCTGCTATTTCACAGCACGTGAAGAACCTGGATATACAGAGCAGCAGGGCCAGACTGTCTGGAGAGCTGCCCAAACACAGCCACGTGTTGCTTCCCAGCACTGGAAACTCGAGGAGAAAAAAAAAAAAATCCCCAGCAGCTGCATCCAAGCTGTGTGTCACAGCTGAGCCGTCCCCAGCGCACGCAGCGTAAATCAGCGGACAGTTGTCGGCTCCAGCTGCTCAGCCCTGGATGGAAATTGGGAAAAGCCAAATAAACGAGATTTATGGAGCCTGTTGGGAAGGTTTCTCAGCTCTTTCTTTTCGCATGGGCAGAGTGCCCTGCAGAATCCTTCCTCGTTGTTGGTGTTTTGGGGTGGACCAGCTTTTCCTGTGTGGGGATGGGCTGCCAGAKGAGGAACACCTTGCTGAGGTCCTGCTGAGACAGCAGCACGCCAGCCTGAGCTCTTGACTGAGAAAACCTCTGATTCTGGGCTTGCTCCTCTGCCCTGGCAGCTGCTGAGTGTTTCCGCAGGGGTCACAGCAAGTGGCTGCCAGCTGGACCTTCGGCTGTTGGATATTATGGAATAATCGCCCAGCTGAGAGGGACATGAGCCTGGAGAGGCCTCTGCTGCCTCAGTGTCCCTGCAGAGCGCGTCAGCTGCTGTGCTCTGAGCTCCCAGACCCAGTTTTGGAGACACCTGTGTTAACACCTGCAAGATGAAAGCAGGTGCAGGGCTGGAACTGGAGCCAGGCTGAGCTGCAGACSTTACATTTTCCCAACAAAATGCAAAAGATGCCATTTTTTTATTTGTGTGTGATGAGTTCCTCCTCCTGGAAAACAGGAGTTCCACCTAAAATAAAAAAAAATAAATAAGAAGAAAAGGAGGAATTAAAATGACAGGCTAGATGTGAAAATGGGGGTGAGCCTCAAGCGAAAGTTCATATACATTTTACCACAAATTGACATACTGTTCTTACCAGGCCAGTATGCAAAATAATAACTGCTTTAGGAAGAAAAAAGAATTGTCTGCAAAATAGCAAAGTAATGTGGATCTATTTAAAAGAAAATATTTAGGTACTAAACCCAGTGAAATGCTAGAGRAATGCAGAATCCATCAGGCAAATATAAGACTTCTAAGCAGACATATGTATCTTTGCTTAAAATGCATTGAATCAAAAGGTGTRGATGGAATCTCTTTTGGCTGTATCTTTTGGCTAGTACTATAGAAATGCTCCATSTGTTGAAAATATTTTAGTGTGGTTCCTTATCAGTCTTCCTTTGACKAAAAGTATACAAAAATCTTCTTTCATTTTTATCAATCCTCTAGTAGATACAGAATATTAAGGTGGGACTGTCATTAAAAATATCTAAAAATATTAAAAGTTTCAAGATTTAAAGGTATGTTGGTTGTGTTTGGTAYCACCTCCAGTAAAATACTTAATACTCAATATCAAATATCTTGATACTCAATGCTGYTTTGGGTACTCATAAGCAAAATTTSACGTGTTAAATGGTAAGTGTGTTAAAGATGTTTTAAAATTACATTTAGATCTGAATAGGTCTTAGAAGTCTGGGAAAAGTTTTGTATTTCTAAGCTATTCTTTGAATTTTTAAATTACAGGGTCAGCAGTGAAACAATAGTGATCCTGGTGAGTGTGATCTTGCAGGAAATCCTTCACTTTGCTTCCAAGTAGTCAGTAGCTGTTAGCAACTTAAAGCAGCTCTRGAAACATTTATTTTGTTAAATGCTCTCTTCACTAAAGAATTTCAGCACTGGGCTGAATCTATTTCTTCTTTTCCAATTCACAGATATTTCTCCTGCACAAAAGCTCTGTGAGTAAGCAGAGRCTTCACCAATGAGAGTGTGTTTCAAGTAAAASCTGTGGTTCCTTCTCTCTTTGCCAKRTTCCACCTGCATGGGAGGTGCTGCCTCCCTCTGCCTTGAAGTCCTCCAGCATTGCACCATCCTGAACTATATAAACTCTAGTGAAAAAACATCCAGTAACTCCAAAATTATGAGCTGATCTAAAAAATGCTTCCTATAGCCCCCTGATAAATATGCCTCTAATGCTAATTAAGCAGCTCTGCTGAATTATTAGATAATATTGGCTGGTAAAACCCAGCAGCGAGGAAAAGTTTTATTTATTTTCCTTCCCAAGGGGATGCTGGGTGTACCTCGGAGATGGGGGAACAGAATGGTGTTCTGGACACCTTTTCCATGGTCCCTGTTTGGCCGCTGCTGTGGTTATGGGGGAGCCTGAGTGACCCCACAGAGCAGCAGAGGGATGGCTTGGCTGGGTATTGTGTATGATATTTGTGATTTCAGATGCTTGAAAATGGGTGTTGTTTAAAYGTTGCTTGGAAGCTGAAGCTTCTGTCTATTCCTTTACAGAGGATGGTTGGTAATGTGCCTATGCATGCCACCGAAATGAGCTCTTGGAAAGTCATTCTTCAGTCTGGAGCTGGAGGGAAAGCTTTATTCTTCTGGCCTGGGGCTGGGAAAGAGCTGGGAGCAGGGACAGAGGAGCGTCCCCCTGCCAGGAKCTGGCTGAGAGAAGCCAGCCTGGAAGCCAAAATGCTCCCACTACCGGCTTTTACTTTGACAGCRGAGCGTGGCTCGGGGTTGTGCTCCAGCACGGAGCTGATTTCCTCCCATTGTCCTTGGGGAAGCGCCGAGATTTTCTTTGCTTAACTGAGATTTTCTTTGCTCAACCACCTTTCCTCCTGGCGGAGGAGTCCTTATCACTTCCTCGTGGGGTAACTAGTGCTGAAATCACTGCACTCTTGGCAGACACAGTCAAAGAATGATAACRTGGAGCCAGAGGAGCCTGGAAGAGGTGCTGGGCTGTACTCCCAAAATTCCTGGAGCCAGCACTACCTCCAAGGCTTTCTGCTTCCTTTCCTAATCTTTCAACCCAATCTCTCTTAAAAATCAGAATGAGCCCCCTGGTATTTCCCCTAATCATGTGGCATTTAAAATCTCAGGCAATAAAGCTTTCRCCACTCCCCTTAGGGAGACGATTTTCCATCCTGCGGTTCTCCATTCAAAACCTTTCCACATGGATTCTCGGTTTAGACATGCCCCTCTGTAATTTCACCCCATTAAAACCGTTAATGTATCACCAGCCTTTTCCCTTGATGCCACGTACTTCATTCAGACATTTACAGATCACTGGTGTCTCCCCGCTTAGTTTACTAAAGCCGCGCTACTTATGACAGTCAGAATTACTTTTTTTTTTTTTTTTTTTTTTTTTTTGTAAATTCTCCATCCTTTCTTTTCTTTTTTTTTTTTTTTTTTTTTTTTTTTTTTTTTTTTTTTTTTTTTTTTTTCTTTTTTTTCTGTAAAGTCTCCAGCCTGCCTATTCCTTCATCCGTGGAGTCTTGGAGCTCCTTCCCATGTGTCGCTCTTCTTGCAAATCCAAGGCAGATGCTCACCGCCCTCGCCTGTGTCCTTATGTTTCCCTGTACTCCGTCCAAAGCTGCACTGCCTGTTCCCGACTGCCGTGTCACAACGCCTGTGGGCTCTGCGGTGTCCTCCGGGTGTCTTTCAGTAGCAGTGCCTCC